CACCTTGTTGGCCTATTCTTTTTTTTTGATATACGGGGGGAGGGAGGGAGGGAGGGAGGGAAAGAAAATTGCCAAGATGGTGTTTGAATGGGAACTGAAAAACATCGCTCAAACAAAATAACACATTGAAGGCTGGACTTGGGGAGTGGAAGTTTGCAGATCTGGCTTCTTGAAATGAATGTTTTCCTTAGAGTTGTTCTTGAGTGATCTGCCTGTTACTAGAGCCAGAATGCTGGGCTTAGAATTCACTAGTGTCTGTTGAGCTTTGGTTAGTAAGGATAGACTGCTTGATCTGGCTCACCTTTCCTGTGGAAGTGTGCAGTGGGAAGAAGTTTGCCGTGCTGTGAACATCAAGGTGTCCCTCTCTCAGAGGTCTTCCCAGAAATCCCCCTGTCTGCACTATGAGAACCACTGTCCTCTTCTCCAAGAACTCATTTAAGTCAGCTTTCCAGTCTTGTATTTTTTAGCTAGCACGAGTTAGATGAAGACAAACCTAGCACATCTGCGCACAGTGCTGGTGGCCATTGTTGTCAAATGATGGCAGTGATCTATCTCTTCCAGCTAATGAGATAAAAAATCCCAGTGGACACTTGAAAATAGATCTTTCATGGCTATGAGCAGAAGCTGTAGCAGATATCAAAACTGAAGTACCCCTCAGGAAATTTACAGGCATGTTAGTAACCCATGGTGTGTCTGGCCAGTGGACCCTGCCAAGAACTTATCGTGGTTTTGTTTTTGTTTTTGTTTTTTTGGCTCAGCCCTTGGTTCCATGGTGTATTTTTTATATCCCAGGTATTGTCTGAATTAGATCTTTGACAAAGACTGGATAAATGGAAGAAATCAATATTTTCTCTTAGAAAACAGGAAATATTTAGCTCTCCAGGATTTATGTGATCAAATTCAGAGGTGTGCTCATGGACCCTAGTTTCATAAGACAATTGCAGAGATGGATTTGAGTGGAAACTATGAAATTCTGGGTAAACAGGTACCAGTTGAAAGAAGGCACAAGAGCACATTGCTATCTTGCTACATTTATTGCAAAGCAAAACAAAAAATGGAAATAGAACATAGGTAAAGTAAAAGTAAATCAGTCTTTGTTGTTGTTGTTGTTTTTGGTTTTTTGGGGGGTGTGGTTTTTTTTTTGTTTGTTTTTTTGTTTTGTTTTTTTGTTTTTGGAGACAGGGTTTCTCTGTGTAGCTCTGGCTGCCCTGGAACTCACTCTGTAGACCAGGCTAGCCTCAAACTCTCGAACTCAGAGATCCTGCCTCCCTCCGCCTCCAGTAAATCAGTCTTAAGTTTACATGGTATTAGATTGTAAAACCTCCAGTCAGATGTCCTTAGATCTATCTTAGCTATTTAAATTAAGCAAAACTAAGAATTCTGTTATCTGTATGACATTGGTCATATACCAAGTATTTAGTGGCCTTGCATAGCTAGTGACAAGCTGTAACTCTAGATGGTTAACTTTGCTGCAGAAATGGTATACAAGACTGGTAGAGAAATTATGGGTGTCACCTTGTCCCCAGGTTCTGTATTGCCCATTCACCAAATTCAGACTAAAAGCATCAAACTTTGTTGTTGCTGTAGATGAGGGGAGCATAGTTTGGGCATGCTGATCATCCTCTGAGGCAGACAGATGCCTGGGATGGTGTCCTTTTGAGTCTGTTGCTGTTTCCCAGCCAGGAGGTACCTGTTAGCTAGAGTTACTTTTGGTTATAGCTGGAGTGGCTCATCTGACACTAGAAGGTAGATGTCAGGTATGCTGCTAACATTCTTTAATCAGGATAAGCCCCCACGTGAAGACTGTTCTGGCCTCTTGAAGTTTTCCAGTGCTTTTTAAACTGAAGGTTCTAACTTTGGGGTTCACAAAGATGTTCCCCTCCCCCCCCCCCCGTGTGTGTGTGTGTGTGTGTGTGTGTGTGTGTGTGTGTGTGTGTGTTGAAAAAAAAAAAGTGGATGTGGTGAGCATCCTGTAGTCCCAACACTCAGGTGTCTTGAGCCAGGAGGATATTGACTCTGAGGCCAGGCTAGGTACAGAAAGAAAATAACCTGACTGGGCTATCTAGCATTAAAAAGGAAAAAGGCATATTAATACAAATTTAAAGATAAAAAATTTAAATCAACATTTCTTCAAAGGCAACATAAATATAGACTGACCAATAAGCACATGACAAATAATTTGTTTTATCAGTAATAAGGAAGTTCAAATCAGAAACACATTAAGATACTACTTTCGCCCACCTGAATAGCTGTTATTTAAAAAAGGATGTGACAGGTTTTGGCCAGTTTAGAAAAACTGCAAGCATCGTGTGTTAGACTTGAGAAAACTGGGAGTTCCTTAGAAAGTGTAAAGTTACTATACATCAAGGTACTTTTAAAAATGTACCCAAGATAAATGAATGCATGTCCCCAAAGACTTCCACATGATTACTCATTGCAACATGTTCTCAATGGTCAAAAGTAGAAACAACCCCAGTGCAACAAACTAATAAGTTCAAAAAATTATTCAATCTCAAAAATGCAGTGAAAGGAGACAAAGGACCATGCCATAGGAATGTCCAGCTGAAAAAAAATCTCTATATCAGATAGCAGATCCAGCAGTGGCTGGAAGTCAGTTGGCGTTGGAATTAGGTCCAAAGAGTTCTAAAGTTGGTAGCAATGGTTACAGGGTTTTCAACTTACTAAAGATCATGGGCTTTCAACACATAAAAGCCTGTTATATTGATTCTATTACAGGAAGTAACTTTCTCTCAGAATTGTAGTGTTGGTTCTTAAAAGCTAAGTGGCTCAGATTTTATATTTAAGTAAAATGTAAATGCTTCTTAATTTAGAAAACTCACATGCTTAAGTCTCCCTTGTTAAAAGATATATTAGGATATTATTCTATAAGTCCCACACTGTGGTTCTCATTCCTTCCTTTTTAAAGCAACCTTCAGCATGGCCGTTGATAGCCTCCTTTCTACTGGCTGCCATCTGTAGTGTCCACAGAGACCTTTTTTTTTTTTTCTCTTCAACGCAGTAAGCTGTCCTTTTTGAGACTATTCAAGTTAAAGTGTTAAAAATAATAAGAATGTGTTTGCATTGTGGGCGGTAAAGGGTTTGCTTACTTTTCTCTGTTTTCTTACCTACTAGGCTCTGGATTACTGCCACAGCAAGGGAATCATGCACAGGGATGTGAAACCTCACAATGTCATGATAGATCACCAACAAAAAAAGGTACCAGTCCAGCCAGGCAGCACCAAACCTTTGCTGAAGGCTTAGGGAAGACCTAAACATTGTGTCCAAGAGCATTTTGGTATCTGTAGACACGATGCTGTCTGTGCTTTTTCTGTAGACCATGCTGATTCCTTCTGTAGACTGCATTACTGTGTCTTCTCTAGTCTCCTGTAGTGGTCCCACCAGGAAAGTACTTGGTGACCATGACTATAGTCACTGGTTTTATTTTAGTTTTAGTGTTCAAAGGGCCTTAGGAAGAAACTATAACAGTGGTTTCCACTTCACTTCTTCATGATCGTTCCAGTCCAACTACCCCTAAGAAGTACACTTGGGTCCTTCCAACTCTGGCTGTCACAGCCAGTGTTAGCTTAATAACCAATTAGAGCAATGTGCAGTGTTTCTGCTTAGCAGGAGGCATGTGCATGTCCTTCAGTATTGCCTGGAGCTCATGTTAAGAGCTGTGAGTGATGGAGAATGTGTTCCATAAGGAGGTAGCACGGAGGCAGAGACAAGGCTGAGCTCTGATGATCTGGAGAGAATAAAAGACCAGGGTAACTTAAAGGGAAAAACTCAGAAACACTCCAAGTACTCTGCTCCAGAAATGATTTCATCTGCAGTTTTTGAAGTGTAGTCTTCCATGGGTAGACTCTGTGTGGTCAAATACCTGTTACAGATATGTGCTGTGGCCTCGCCACAAACATAGGCATCTCCACGTGCATCTTTCACGGTCTACTTTGTCTTGTCTTTCATAGCTCCGACTGATTGATTGGGGTCTGGCGGAGTTCTATCATCCTGCTCAGGAGTACAATGTTCGAGTTGCCTCGAGGTACTTCAAGGGACCAGAGCTCCTTGTGGACTATCAGGTGAACGTGTCAGTGAAGCTGCTCTGCGCTACTCTTATATTTTCTTAGGGATTTTTCTGGTTTGCTATGTAGTCGGTTTGAATACATACAAAACCCAATTATTATTCTACTCTATGAAGTTTTTTCTCAGCTACATTAAATTTTTTTTCAGTATGTATGTATACGCCACAGCCCACATGTGAGGGTTAGAAGCAGGAGGAGTTTGTTCTCTCCACCATGTTGGTTCTTGGCATAAGGATTAGGTTGTTGGGGTTGGCAGCCTTGGACACTTAATCTACCGGCTGAGCCTCTTGCTGCCTTTTTTTCTTTTAAGGGAAGAGTGACTTTTCATTATAAAATAACTGCAGAAAGGCTGAGAATGAAGCTTGCCTGGTATGTATAAGGCCCTAGTGCCTCAGGAAAAAAGGCTAATCTTCAGTAGTCAGATGAGTACTAGAAACGCAATACAAAGGGTGTCTAAGCATCCTTGACTAATCGGCCATCCTTGCTGCCTTCAGATGTATGATTACAGCTTGGACATGTGGAGCTTGGGCTGTATGTTAGCGAGCATGATATTCCGAAAGGAACCATTCTTCCATGGGCAGGACAACTATGACCAGGTGAGCAGATTTGGTCACTGTTATGTCACAAATGCTAGAGATATAGCCTATAAGCCATGAATGTCACTCACTATATATGGACTTCCATGTAAGCTGATGAGTCATTCAGAATTGGGTCTGTGGTACGAGGTCCCAAAGCATTCAGACATTTGCTGTCTGTCCTGAACCTTCAAGATGGGCCTAAGAAACAAGATTCCTCTTTGTTGCAGTAAATCTCCAGCCCCAATAAGCCCATGCAAAAAACACAACTCAGTTACAGTATCTATAAGCTGCATACTTAGATGGGCAGATTTATCACTACACTACTCTATTTCCCCAGCTATGAGATCCCCTGCTACTGCAGCTTCTCCAGGTCACATGGTTCTGCTCCAACTTCCACCTCCTCTTCCTCCATCTTTCTCTTCTTCTCTTCGCCCTCTCTGAAACCTCCAGCCCCACCTTTCCCTTCCACTGCCCAGTCATAAACTCTAGCCTTTATTTGACCAGTTAAAATGGGGAGAAAGTTCACATGGAATTACTTGAGTACATGATCCACTCTTCGTTGGGGCAACCCACAACATTTCCACCTTTTTGTCCAATTAAAAGGCTCTTTTTTCCCCCTCAAATATAAATTGAGCACATCTATTACAATTATGTAACTTATAACACGTAAGATATACTTAACACCCAATGTGTCATATTTGTCAATTTAAATAGAGCACTCTACCATCTATCCTAACTCAGAAAGCTTACAATTTTATATCTGAATCATATCCTGGCTTGTATACCATCTGAAAATCATCCTCTCAAATCTGTTATCTCTCTTTATGTTAAACAGCTTGGTTTCTCTATGAGACTATAACTAGTCTTCAACCCCATCAGACATACAAGAATGACTTAAATAGTACCTGAAAATACAGGAAGCACAAAACATAGCTTCCAAAACGTAACCATTTTGTAGAGACAGTTGACTACCTGGACAGTCCCTACTTCCTCAAAATGTCATTCTTTAGCCTTCTGGCACAGAATCATCTGACAGACTTTTGTAGATTTGAATTTTGAAGGACTGCTTACCCCGTCTTGCCAGAGCTATCAGTCGACTATTCCACATAGTGTGACCTTTTCTTGTCCAGTATTTTTGTCTGTAGCTGAATTGAGGCAATTTTTTTCTTTGAACCAAGAAAGGGGTGTAATCAGGAGCACACTTGTCTCTAGTCAAATGATCTTTAATAACGAAATGGCCTTAAGTGTCGTATTCTGTGGACTTGTGATGCCTTTGAAGACTATGTAAAGTAATCTGAACTGTTATACCTTAACTATTCTTAGTCATTTCTATTTGAGTAAATTTAAAAAAACACTTTATTATAATTAAATCAGAATATAATGTAATCATGAGTTTATTATCTGGCTCTTAACTTTTGTGTTACTTAATCATCCTAAACAGTTTGTAATGGCAGTTATTAGAAGGACTGGCTCCAAGCCTTGTGTTCCTAGAAGAGTTGTACTTGTACAGGCACGGTGCCTATCAAAGAGTAACAATAGTAATTTTAATCTTACATCAATATAAGAAATTTACATCTATGAAAATCTTAAACCTGTATCAATCTATAAATTATATATCAGTGTAAAATTACAACTTCAATTTGCATTAATTGTAAAATTTCTGCCAATGTAAGATATGGCTATATAATGTTTTGTTTAAGAGTAAATTTGATAACCTATCCCTATGACAACCCACAATGCCTCTTTGTCTAACAAAATCAGATTCTAGTCATTAGATCACAGTGTCCCCAAAGATATTAGCATCAAATTACATTAACCCTTTATTTTTATTTTTTTTTTTAAAGAATTATGTATTTATTTTATACATGAGTACACTGCAGCTGTCTTCAGACACACCAGAAGAGGGCATCAAATATCATTAACAGATGGTTGTGAGCCACCATGTGGGTGCTGGGAATTGAACTCAGGACCTCTGGAAGAGCAGTCAGTGCTCTTAACCGCTGAGCCATCTCTCCAGCCCTACATTAACCCTTTAAAAGCAGTTTAGAAACTTGAATTCATGTGAGACTTGTGTCCTTAAGTCTTTTTGTTTATCTTAGACTCGGATCTCTGTTAAGTTCCTAGAGATCTGAGTGACATGGAATCTTCTGATTCCCAGGTCCAGCTCAGTGTTCTCTAAGGCTCATGGGAAGCTGTGTGCTTGGTGGTTTGGTCAGTTTGTTTTGTGTTTCAGCTTGTTCGAATTGCCAAGGTTCTGGGGACAGATGAGCTATATGGGTATCTGAAGAAGTACCACATAGACCTAGATCCACACTTCAATGATATCCTGGGACAGTAAGTAAAAAGAGAAGGACGGGGGAGGAAGGGTACATCTTGCTCTGTTTCAGAAGTTGGAAGGTTAGATAAAATCCAGTTTCTTTCCCTTTTCTCACATCAGTATTGATGTTGGTTGGTTGAAGCAAGGTCTCACTTACTATGTAGACAGAGGGTTAACTGCTTTAGCCTCCTAAGTGGTAGGACTTCCTACTTATCAATAGAAAATGGAATATAAGCCATGTGTGGACATGGATATCTAATCACAACACCAGGGAGGCAGAGGCAGGGGATCATTGAGTTTGAAGCCAGCCTGGCAATCATGAGAGATCTGTGGAAGCAAATGGAAGACAAAATCACAATGTTAACAGGCGGAAAATGTTTATTTGGTTAAAGCATGTACTTAATTTTTTAAATTACTTCTTTCTGGTTTATATGTAAGCATGTTTTATCTGTGTGCATGTATATGTACCATGTATGTATTGGTGTCTGGAGAACCAGAATAGGGGTCCTCTGAAACTGGAGTTAGAGGTGGTTGTGAGCCACCATGTGGTTGTCAGAAATTGAACTCAGAACCTCTGGAAGAGCAGACTGTGCTCTTAACCACTGAGCCATCTCTTCAGCCCTAAATATACATATTTTGATGACAAATCCTGGAAAACTATGTTTCTTTAAATAAGAAATGAATAGCTTATTTTCTGAAGTAAGTTTTACAGTAAATATTAAGGCATACTGAATTTTCAGGTACAGTGTAGATTTATATGGTTTAGAGATTTGTTTGTTCGTTTGACAAGGTCTTGCTGCATAGATGGCCTCAACATGAGTGCCAGGATTATAGATGTGCACCACCATGCTTCAGTGCAGTATGCTAGAAGGAAATGCTTGCCTGGTGGTCTTCACACATTGTGTATAAAACCATTTGTTTTTAAAGCCAGTTCTCTGTCTACTACCCATCATTGTGTAGTCACTTCCAGGCTGTACTTAGAGTTGGTGAAAGGACTGGGCCAGAAGAGTAATCGAGAAAGATTGAACCAGTTCTCACTCAGATGTAGAAGTTATAAACAGATCCTGCTTATCTAATGATTGAGCAGTTTTGTGTCAGTACACCATGGTTATAACTGGGTGTGACAGGTTGTGGAAGTGCCGGCCTGTATGAAGTGGGCACCAGTAAGAACGAGCTTCAGCTGCTTCACACAGTGCACTCTTCTAAGACGTCGTTGATGGTGGGTCTAGTAGAGGAGAATTTTTCATGTTGTTTAGTCTCAGAATAGTAATGACTTACTGTTTTTCTTAGACATTCACGGAAGCGCTGGGAAAACTTTATCCATAGCGAGAACAGACACCTTGTCAGCCCCGAGGCTCTAGATCTTCTTGACAAGCTCCTGCGGTACGACCATCAACAGAGATTGACCGCCAAAGAGGCCATGGAGCACCCATACTTCTGTGAGTATTTTGGGTTGTTTGTTTGTTTGTTTATTTTGGTGGTTGTTTTTATTTTTAAGAATCATTATTTTATATATAAGAGTACACTGCAGCTGTCTTCATACACAGCAGAAGAAGGCATCAGATACCATTACAGATGGTTGTGAGCCATGTATTGGCTGGAAATTGAACTTAGGACCTCTGGAAGAACAGTCAGTGCTGTTAACCACTGAGCCATCTCTCCAGTCCTGTGAGTTATTAAAAGACAAAACAACACCCTTTATCTTCAAGGTCAGTCAGAACACTAGATATTTGGCTTCAAATTTTAATTTATTCTAGATCACTTTATAGATGATGTATTCATTCTAGATCACTTTATAGATGATTTTATTCATTCTAGATCACTTCATAGGTGATTTTTCTTAGTTCCCAACGGTGTTTGGTTATTCACTAGTAGTAGTACCTCTGAGGCCAGACTGTCTACCCACTCTTATTACCCTCATCTTGTAGACTGAAGGTTTTTTTTTTTAAGCATAAAATGTGTATAAAAACCTAGTCAGCGATTTTTTTTTTTTTCTCGTTTAAAAAAGTAGTTAGATCATCCTAGTGTGTTTCTAAAGGAAGCAGTGTGTGAATGAGAGGGCTCTGAGGCTAGGGAGCAGGCAGGTGTGACAGCTGGACCCTGGCATCTCCCACAGAGCATGTGTGCTCCTTCTGTACCCGCTAATGGTTTGAGTAGAGTCGTTCTCCCTATTGAGATTTCACATACACTTTACCCATGTGCTTTAGCTAATATGAAGACTATATTGCTATGGTTTCAAACTTACTTACAACAAAAGTTTAAGGTGACAAAAAATGTAAAGGGTCTTCTCTTTCAGCCTTCTGTGCCTTAGACAGACAAGGGTTGTCTGCTCTCTAATTTCCAACACAGAGCTGCTTCTACCCCGTGAGGTAGGCCACTTTAAGGATACTGGTATAGCCCAGAGTAGTGGCACACACCTTTAAAAAAGCTACTCAGAAGGTAGTCAGATCTTAGAGGCCAGCCAGGAATACATAGTAAGACTGGGGTTTTGTGGGGAGGCGGCTGGTTGTTGTTTTAAAGCCAGGTGTGTTGATGAATACCTTTAATCCCAGGACTCAGAAGGCAGAGGCAGGTGGATCCCTGAGTTCAAGGCTGGCCTGGACTACAGAGTGAGTTCCAGGACAGACAGCCAGAGCTACACACAGAGACCCTGACTCAAAAAAACAAAACAAGCAAAACCAATAAAATAGAAAGCAATACTAGTGTAAACTCATGAGACATGCATATGTGTAAGGATTGCACATTTGAGGCCATCTAAGGTATATAGTGAGATTCTGTCTCAGAAATAATAACAAAAACCTGATGAATGTTTCACATAATTCATTATTTGATTATTATCTAAATAAACTTCGTATTTCACTGTTCCTTAAAGTTGATAGTCTGCCATTGGCTAGTTTACTCATCTTTTGATGACATGCTTATCATTGTATGTGCTTTAAAGAATTTAGGGGATAAGTATGATGTTGGTACTCAAAGAAGAAATTGGTATAAATTTGAACACTGGTAAGATAGGGCTTCTGTGCTTTTCAGCAGTTGGGTCTATATTCTAAGGAAGAAGAATTACCTAGAAAAAAAATTCGCCAGTGGACATGAGGCCACCCTGGCTGAACTGGAGGATCAGGGTGAAGAAGAGTGAGAGTTCAGAGCTAATCTGAGATCTTGTATAACTTTCTCCCAAAATCCAATGTGCAGTAGGAGTTGAGGAAGTGACTTAGTAGATTGATTGCCTAGCATGTGTGAAACTATGGGTTCTAGACCCTGCTTTGAGGGAGAAAAAATAAGGAATTATCTCCTGATCCTGTCTTGGTGCCTGGTTTTTGTGGGACCCGAATCCAACATAAATGTGCATGTAGAAGAAGAAAGGCAGGTTGGCTGTGTGGCGTTCTCACTGTAGCCTCAGTGCTGGTGCTGACGTGGGGAACCTGTGCTCTCTTGCAGACCCGGTGGTGAAGGAGCAGTCCCAGCCTTGTGCTGAGAACACCGTGCTTTCCAGTGGTCTCACCGCAGCACGATGAAGCCTGGGGAATCGACGGTAATGCGGCACTGATGCTTGCCAATAAAACCAACCAACCAAACAAAAACTTGAAGGAAACTACAGTGTGATAAAAAGAAATTCTAATCATTCCTTCTAAAGGCAAAGAAGAGTAAAGACCTAAAGTCTGTCAAAAGCAAGAAACTCCCCAGTACTAGTCTACAGGGAGCTGCGCTGTGCGGTGTGGCAGAGCGCATAGTTGAGGATCTGAGGGGACTCTCCCTTTGGAATGCATGGGAGATGAGAAGCTCGGAGTTGTTGTCCATGTACCTGCGTTTAACAGGATACCACTGATGAATTAACCCGTTCGGTCAACAAGCTCTGAATATCTGACTTCCTATCTATTCCATTGTGGTCTGATTTTCTTCTGTGAGAATTCAGGCTCAAGTTTTAGCAAAAGTCAGCTGTCTATTCTGACACACCAGCCTCATTCACAAGAAAAAAAAAAAAAAGGATTAAAACAGTGACAGTATTTTTTTTAAGCTCTTTTACAAATTCATGTGTTATGTATTTTTTTATGACATGAGCTCTCCAGGAAATGTACCTCATTGCTGCAGTTTGCTTCTAAGTGTTCTAAGTGTATTCATTTGGAAGCAAACTGCCCTTGCTCTCGCCACATCCTGTTTGGTGTCAGAAAATGGCACTGTAAATCTTGAGATGCCATGAGCAGGTCCCAGGCTCATTAGATGTTCCATGCTGTGTGCATAACTTGGGGCTCACCTTTATTGATTTGCCTAACTATTGAATCTTGTTGCCTTTTTTTTTTTCTTTAACTTTTTCCCCCTTGGCCTTGTAAGGAAAACCTCACCGTTTCCCAGCACATCTTTGTGAGGGCATTACAATGCTCCACTTTAAAACAAAGACTATTTTTATTCACAACCATAGCTACAGCTGGAAAGTTAGTCTTCAGGCAGGTCAAAGAGAGAGGAAAGCGTTCTATTAGGATTTATTCAGGAAAGACCTCATGGGTGCAAAAAAGCCTACCACCATCTTTCCTCTCTTAACCCTGTGATAAACAGGTGTGGCTGCAGTCAGGATGATGAGCATTTGCAGCTCTGATTGGTCACACATGAGTGTGATGGAAAGCAGGCTCTTGCGTGCAGGTGCTGGCTTGTGGGTAAGGCTGTCCTATGACTCCTGCAGATGGAGAGTGATGGCCATGGCATGCGGGAGGAAGTGGGGCTCCTGGAGCAAGTGTCAAAGCTTTATAGATCCACTGTGCTAACCTTCATGTTAGCAAAAGCTAAATTTTGTGTTTTGTTTTTTTAATAGGGCTGATTTCATTGGTGGGATTGGTCACTGACATGGTTTGCCAGCTAGTCCCCTCTCCGTGGCTGCAGCCACATCTCAGCACTGGGGACCTAACATGCTTGAGATATCTACCACATCACACTTAGGGTTTCTTCAGTAACTATTTAATAATGCCATACATTTTTATAAGGTTAGATTGTTTGTTTGAAACATCTGTTTACATTCCAAATTCCAATAAACTTGTATTGGTATTGGTAGCAGGTCCATTTCTAAATGCAGATTCTATTTTGTCGTTTGGTCTGTGGGAACTTAAGGCAAATGTAACTCTTCTCTTGATAGTACGAAGTTGAGTTTATAGATTAAAATAAGATCTTGGGCCAGTGTCATGGCAGGTAAAGGCATCTGCTGCCAAAGCTGATGACCTGAGTTTAGCCCCCAAACCTGTGTGAGAGGGGAGAACCTACTCCCATGATTGTCCTCTGCCCACACCTGTGCCATGGCATGGATACACACACACACACACACACACACACCCCACACTCTAAATAAAGTTTCAGGACATCCATTCAGTTAAGGTTTTCATAGAGCTGCTGCCTCCTCGTGTTGCACCTTGTGTTTCCATGTATATATTTGTTCTTCCTGAGAGTTGGAAACAACATGGCAGAGACATGACCTGTGTTAACATGTCAAGTAGCAAACCTCAAGTATTGGGGATTACCATGGGTGTTCTCATGTGCTGTCACAGGCAGCCTGGATCCTTGATGGTCAGGGGATGCCGGGATGCCTTTTCTGTTCTCTGACCCCATCTCCTTGATGACCCAAGCTCCTCTTTTCTCTCTTAAGTTGTTAAAGAGTTTGTTAGAGGGTCTCAGTTGAGCAGTAATCCCACCTCTTTGCCCTGGGTCCTCCAGAGACAGTCAAAACATCTGGGAAAAGAGTTGGACACATCCTACCCATCCCCCAGGCCCCCTGCATGCTGTGGGGGAGAGGTCCTTGAGTGACAGCTCAGCAGGGCATGTATGTAGCAGTGACTGTACTTCACCTCTCTCCCGCCTTGGGCTTGAAATGCTTGTTCCCTCTGGGTTTATACTTAATGTTTAGGCTGGCCTTTCTCAAATTGCAGTATCTAGTGGACCTCTTACCTGTCTCCAAATCTACCTTGGTATATCTGTATACCAGCCACACCATAGCCCAGCTCCCTGGAGATTTTTCCCTGGGTTTTAAAGAGTGTGTATGAGTAGGGGTGAGAGTCTAGTCTTTATATTCAGACTAAACTAGTAAATTTACCCACCCAGTATCCTTTTCAGTGAATATATTCTTTTTAAACTCATCTCAGTAATTCTCATTTGTTTTTTTCATTACCTTATTACAGGTTAAAAGTGCCTATGACAAGGACTTAATTATTTCCTAATGAAAAGCAAAAAAGAACAAAACAAACCCACCAAAACCTGTGGGGGACAGGGTAGTGTTGAACTGTCATCTCAGGTATGCCTGTGTTGAAGAGCGGGCACCTGGTGTGATAAGATGCTGCTCCAGGGCTGAGTTCAAATCAGTCTCTCTCCTTGGTATCCACAGGAGCATGACCGCAAGGTTGCCTGGACTAAGAGCCATGCTGAGAATGATAAGTGTGTTGGTGACAGTTTGTTCTTTTCGGCACCAGTCAGCTGACCTGCTCCTGTCTTTGTAGGTGGCTGGGTAGACACCATTGCCTGTGGAATGAGGGCATGTCTCTCTGAGGCTCGATCTAGAAGAGCAGAGTGCCCAGCCAGGCATTGTGGGCCTTACCCTAACATGTCCATGCTTAGGGCACATGGGTTCCCTGGTGGAAAGGAAGGTTCTCTTAGTCCAACGACTGAGAATAAGGAGCTAGACGCCACTAAAGCTTAGAGAAGGTGGCTGTTGGGGACAGATGAAAGAAAAGATCCAGTAAGAAAAATGTTGTAAAGCTGGGCCCATAAGAGCTCATACTTCTAAAGATGAAACTAGGGGACACTAGGTTCCTGCTGCAAATGCCTGGAGAGGACACTGACCCTGGCTTGGGTCCAGTGGCCCTTGAGAGGTAGTTGCCAAGGGCCTCAGGGAAACAACCTAGGTTCTCCAGGACCATGCTAATGTGTCAGCAGAGCTACTTGGGGGACAGGAAGGATACAAAGAGTTTCTATGTGCATTGAGATAAATGTAGAAGCCTGGTTAACTGTTTCAATTAACACAGGTCAGATTCCCAGACCCCACAGGGAAGGGAGCTACTCAATGAGCTGGGGAGAGGTGGCTGCAGAACGCCAGCCCTTCTGAAAGCAAAAGCAAGCAGGTCTCTTGAGCATACAAGAACCTGAGTTTGTCAGGGAGCATAATAAAAGTGAAGTGTGTTCTGCCTTTAAAAACTAAGCCCCACTGTGCGGATGACGGGGAAGGGAGGTGGCCAAGAGTGCTTGCTTTTACAATGGCAGTTTTGGTTGTAGAACCTGGCAAGGTTGGATTATACAGCAGACACATACTTTTGTGTCAACCAACAATGTGCTACAAATGTGACACTTGACCCTGAACTGCATGTATTGGGGATTTTTAAAAAGAAAAACTTTGAATCAATAAATTAACAGTTTTTTCCACTTGGTGGCTCTTCTTGCTGTAAATGGTGAATTGGGGACAGAATCTTGATATCCAGTGGCAAGTTTGGATAATCTTCAAGAACCAAGGAGCCTTCTGTTTGCAGGGAAAAAAGCACTGCCTGTGTTGTGGTCTTTTTCCAAAGGAACACTACAAACCCAGTTCCTCAGTGTAGCCCTGGATGACTGATGTGTGGTGCCATGTCAGATCCCATTTTCCTAAATAAAATTTATGTTGACAGTTCCTGGCCTTCCCAACTAGGAGGCAAACAGCTGCTTTGGACCTTAGCTTGCATTTGGGGCATGGAGGTGGGCCATAAACTTGGAGCTTCAAAGACCTGTGGTGGCTGAGTCTGTCACCTTGGTGTGGCAATTTCTTTAGGAGTGAGACAAGTGGCCTCCCTCAAGACCCCTGCTTCTCAGAACTGTCCGGTTCTGTTATGTGACTTTAACCTTGGGACCCAGGTTTGGGCGTTTGTAAAAGTCCCTCTCCACCACTCCTTGTAGCATACACGTGAGTGTGCACCTGCTGTCTGTCACTTGGCTGGTAGTACGGGGTCTTACATGCAGGTAGTTGTTTCCCTAACGGATCCCCCGTGATTGGACCCTTGGACCACAGCTGAAGAACTTGGAGGCAGTGTAATTTCTCACCCTGCACGGACAGCCTTTCTCATCTTTAAGCAGTGGAAAGAACCCTTTTCCCACAGTGACAGAGACAGCTTGCTAGATGCCAATTGCTTTCCTCATTGTGGTCTCTAGAATCCAGTCACTGTCCTCTCAACCACCTGCTGTACCATGATGGGTATGGAAGGAGGCCATGCCAGACACCTTAGTTGCTTGCAGAAGTGGGTTGAAAGTTTGAGCCCATTTGCTGCCCTACAATGATAGTGGGTTTGGCCTTTTTCTGAGTAAATACCAAGTCATCTGATTCCTAAACTCCTCAGTAAGTGTGTCAGATCTGAGAAACTGTGGGGTTGGACCTGTTGTCTGACTTGCAGAATGGTCACAAGGCACCTACATAAGCCCCTACACTTAAAGGACAGGGAAGAATAGATTGTGACATGTGGCCAGAGTTACTCTCAGAAGGCCAGGCCAATGGCTGCCTCTGTTGGGGTCTAAGAGCAGGAGGAGGATACTTCAAGGCCTGGGCTCATGCCTCGAGTGTCCCGAGAAGGCAAGCTTGCCCGCTGTCCCCAGCCCTGTCCCAGGTGGCCTGCCTCTCTGGCTCAGATTGATTAATGCCCTCTTTCCCCTCCTCCCATCTCTCTCCTCAGGTCTGTTGCGGTTCCTCCCACTTTTCCATAAGCAGAACAAGAACCAAATCAAAACGTCTTAACGCGTGTAGCGAGATCACGTCCCGAGAGCAGACACAAAATGGTGGCAGGCTTGGCGAACAGGAACTAGACCACCCGAAGGGCAGCCCACCACCGTAAATCAGACCTCACTTCCGAATGTAAAAGGTTCACATGCCTTTGGCTTCCTGTTGACTTCCTCCCGACCCAGAAAGCATGGGAAATGTGAAGGGTATGCAAAAATGGTTGTTGGTTACTGTTGCTCCCTGTGCCCTTGACCCATCCCATGGCCGCCTGTTGCTCCAGCAGACCCCAAGGACTAGCTGACCACAGACTCCACAGACGGGATGGGAGCAGTGTATGGCATGATGGGCAGTTACATATTATTTTAAAAGTATATATATTATTGAATAAAATGTTTTAAAAGAAGTGGATGGAGCGTATTCAGTGTGGAAGGGGCCATTGGCCAAGACCTGTGGATAGAGAGAACTGAGTCACCAGTGCACTTGTGCCAAGGTCCAACTAGAGGGAAGCAGGACCAGGATGGCATGTTGTCAAGTAAAGTGACAGCCTGGCGTGCTGCATAGGCTGGGAGAGCTGGGCCATGTCTTGACTGCAATCCCCATCATGTGTCCACCCTTACCTCTTCCAAATGAGGAGTGGCTCAGTGATTAATACCCCCATGGTGACTTCAGGAGGATGCTGTAAGCCACCCTTTGCTGTTTCTGTGCTCACACCTCAACATTTTGTATTGCTCAGTTAAGCCTACTCCCTTCTGAAGAAATACCTCAGTCCTGGAGGCAGGTTAAATCTGCTAACCAATGGGAGGGAGGGGATCAAGCCTAAAGATACTTCTCATCCTGTCCTGATACTCCCAAGAAAGATAGAAGAACCTCCACGTACATGCATTACGTACACACAAAGAGGCTGCAGTGGAAGCCTTTAACAGGAAACAGCCAGTTTCAGTGTCCTCAGATGATTGATTCAGCACAGCTGTGCAGGCGACATAAACACAGCTGGGGGTTGACCAGCCTGATGTTTGGCCACTGGCCATTCTCACACTGCCTATAGAGCACAGGAGGCCCTACCAGGTTTTAGGCAAGTGAAAAGGTTGGAGTGCCAGCTTGTTCCTCACAAGGGCCACTTGTTCTGAATGGCCATGTGAATCCAAGTGTGAACACTCACAGTGTTAAAGTGATTATGTGGGAAGGAAATAACAAGTCCCTTCAGGGCCACTGTGGTGTCGGTGCCTTTTGAACCTATTTCTGTCAGTTCACAAGGTATGAGAACTTAACACACCCCACCAGTGAACACCAGCAAGTACCTTCCAGAACCACTGACCATAGACCAAAAAGCCAATGGGCTACAAGCACCTCGCCTTGGTTTCTTTTTGTTTGCTTGTTTTCTTGAGGCAGGGTTTCTCTGTGTAATCTTGATTATCCTGGAACTCACTCTAGACCAGTCTGGCCTCGAACTCACAGAGATCTTCCCGCATCTGCCTCTGGAGTGCTGGGATTAAAGGTGTGTGCCACCACCACCCAGCCTTGCCTTTATTTCTAACCCTACCACTGGCTTACTGTTCTCAAGCTGTCTCCGGGGAGCCTTTTCAATATGGGGCTCTAGAAAGCCCAGCAGGAGTAGCTCATTCATATGCTCTTGCAGATGTATATAGTATATAGGTGTATATAGTGGGTATATGCTATCTCCACAGACCTGTATACAGTTAAGGCCCTGTGTAGATGTGGACAGACAGGTGTGGAGATCCAGTAGTGCTTATAAAGAACTGAGAAGGCTAGCTTAGTCCTTGGGCTTTTCCTGCTTTTTAGCCCAAGTTCTTCGTTTCCCAGTGTGGAAGTCTTACTTTTCAGAAATCCCAGGCCTATCAGATACTCTTGGGTTTTGTGGGTGGCAGGAAAGGAAAAGAAGGAAGGGAAAAAGGGAAAGGAAGGGAAGGGGAGGGGAGGGGAGGGGAGGGGAGGGGAGGGGAGTTTTCACTTTGGTTTTGACTTTGAGAAGAGCACCTGGGAACCCACATAGCTTATCCATAGTTCACACGGGTTGTCAGAGAACCCTTGCACCAGTATTACTCCTCAGTGTCTTTTCTGAATGCTTGTAGTAAAAAAATAATTCAAAGGTTATCAAGAGTTAATAGTTAAAAGCCCCTCCAAGTCATCCTGTTGTTCAGTTTGATCTGTTTTTTTTTCATTTGTTTCTATAAACCCTTATCTAAATTCTTGACTTTCTAAATTCAATGACTTTCATGGGATGCAAATGTGGAAAAAAAATTCTTTTTCTATAATGTTTCCAGTTGACAGTAAAACTCTGAGTCAGCATGTATACATCTACCTCATCTGTTTCCATGGCTGCACAGTGTTCCACTGTGTGCTGTGCTACAGTTACAGCAATTCTTGTGTGTGTGCCATCGTTAAAGCAATTCCTTCAGAGACTCTGGGCTGTTTCTAGTGTTTTAGAATTGCTAAATGAGTGTGTTTGCTCCACATTTGTAAGTGGGGTATATATAGGATAAAAATTACTTTTTAAAAGGATATAGTTCAGCTTTCCCTTTCAAAATTTTTATTATGTGTGTGCATGCATGATGGGCTGGGTGGAGCCAGACATGGCCAGAGGGCCAGGAGGTGGAGAGGATGGGCTGTTCTTCCCAGAATGCAGTTAACAAAAGATGCCTCTCACATGCATTTTGCTAAGCCAGACTCAGAAGGCTGCATACTGAATGATGCTGTTTAAGGAGGGTGCAGAGCAGATCACAGTTGTCTGAGTAAAGCACGACACCCTTTCAGGGGTGCTGCAGCATAAATGTGAGGTTGTATATGCTGCCTTCGTCAAAGCTCTCCATCCTAAAGAGTTCATCTTCCTGATAATAAACTTGAAAGTATTTTTTAAAGTTATCACATGCAGAGACCCAACAGAGTTCCACTTGACCTTCACTCTAGGAGCCTCTGCAGTGGCCCAGGTCCCTGTCCTTCACCTGCCAGCTGAAGGCTTTCAGTGTTCAGGACATCCCCCATGCTTTTGTTCTGGCTAAAGGACATCCCTGTTCATCATTGCTGTGCCAGAAAAAGGGGTTGGGTTGGGGAGGTAACGCTCTACCAGTGTGTGAGTACCTCCCTGTGGCTCCCAAGGGCAGGTGCTCTGGGTGAATTTCTAGGCTGAGCTGACCTGAATACCTCCTGTTTCCTGGCCAAGACTTTGTGCTTTAAGTGATGCCTTTGTTTATTAAATCTGTACATTTAAAACCCAGTTTGTGTCATGTGTGTATAGGTATGCACACACATGTATGTACACATCTGTGTATGTGTGGAGGTCACCATACAGGGTCTCCCTCAGGAACTCTTCACCTTAGTTTTTTAATTAATTAATTAATTTTATATATGTGTGAGTATATTGTCTCTGTCTTCAGACACACCAGAAGAGGGCATCGGAGGACCCATTGCAGATGATTGTGAGCTGGAAATTGAACTCAGGACCTCTGGAAGAGCAGTTAGCACTCTTAAGCTCTGAGCCATCTCTCCAGCCCCATCTCCACCTTATTTTTGTCACAGGTTCTCTCACTGAACCTAGAGCTTCCTTATTTGACTACACTTGCTGGCCTGCAAGCCCAGGAATCTTCCTGTTTCCACCACTCTAATAGAATTACAAGTGTGTCCCACTAAAACCCAACTTTTTTTTTATGTGAATTCTAGGAGATCAAACTCAAGCCCTTCCTTATACATGGATAGAAAGCACTCTACCAACTGGCTCAAGTCCCCAGCCCTCTATAATTGCGTCATTATGATCAATTATAATTCGTTTTATAGCCACAAACCAGGTGATACTAACACCTTTGTTTAAACTTTCATGGGTCAATAAATTAAAAACTTAATGGGTGCCCGATGTGGTGGCACATACCTTTAATCCCAGCACTCAGGAGACGGAGGCAGATGGATTTCTGTGAATCTAAGGCCAGCCTGTTCTATAAAGTGAGTTCTAGGACAACCAGGACTATGTAGAGAAACCCTGTCTTAAAAAAAAACCCCAAACCGCCGGGCAGTGGTGGCGCACGCCTTTAATCCCAGCACTTGGGAGGCAGAGGCAGGCGGATTTCTGAGTTCGAGGCCAGCCTGGTCTACAGAGTGAGTTCCAGGACAGCCAGGGCTACACAGAGAAACCCTGTCTCGAAAAACCACAAAAAAAAAAAAAATCCCAAACCAAAAGCAACAACGAAAAGAACAAACAAACAAACAAAAAACAGAATGGGTGCTGTAAGGCAAAGGTGGTACACGGTTATAATTGTAGCACTCAGGAAGCTGATGCAAGAAGATTGAGAGTTCAAGACCAGCCTCAGGTATGCAGTCCATTGCCATGTCCACATTACTTAATCCGTTGCCATGTCCGTCATGGCTGCAGGGACTTGGACCCGACTAGGGTGCTGAGAGAATGAAGAAATGACAGACACAGTCAGAGAGCCAGGACTGGGTGGACGGGGCTCTCTGCAGGAGAAACCATAGCACCCCGAAGCTCAGTATGTTTATTACACACAGTTGAAGAGGGATGTGGGCTTACTGCCCACAACTGAACAAGGAGGCTCCGAGTCATTGCAGATAAACAAGGTGGGCTCCTGGGATACAGCTGCATCAGAGACACGGGCTCAGCCAATGCTGGTAGAAGTGGCCTCTGTGGAGGACCAGTGTTCAAGCTGTAAACATCTAAGGAAGGAAGCTCTGATGGACATTTTCTGCATTCACTGCCGATATCTACACTTGGACCAGAGGAAGGCTTTGCCATTCCTCCATGGGCTTGAGGCTCTGGGGTCCATGACATGGGGTGCCTATGTCAAGAGCACTCATTCACATAGGTTGTCATTCACTCTGGGCTTTCTCTGCTCCCTGCAACTAGTAAATGCTGTAAACATTGCTTACATGCTTAATCTAGTCTCCATAGACATTACAAACTTAGTCGACATAACCTGTTTTATTTCACAAGCACAGTAACTAATGAAAAACCTGACCAAAATCCTCCCAAACCAGTCAAATACCAACAAACCTAAGTTTAAACTCATAATTGGAATTGTTAAACATCCATTGTTTACACATTTTCTTAGACATTGCAAATGTAAAACCACTTACATTTCAAAAAGAATATGGAGCACTTTCACATTAAGTCCAAAGCCTCAGATGCTGTTTAATACATTACCATCCTTAAATATTTCACATATCTTAGATAATCCTGTCACTGTAGTCAGAAACTCACCCCTTAGTCTGTCAGACTCCTGAGATCACAGCTTTGGTCTGTCTACTCTTCATAATGTCTGTCTAGGAGCTCCACGTGGTCATGGCCGGCCTCTACTCCTCTCTACTTCTCTCTCTCTTCGTCTTCTCTTCACTCGCCGTCTTCCCGTTCCTCTCTCCCACTCCCTTCCCCAAATAAACCCCTTCCC